TAAAAGCAATGAAACGGAAAATTTAACGAAGTATTTATTAGTACGTTTCGTTCAAAAGGTGGTGTTTTTTTTGGACCCCCCCCCCCCCTCTGGAGAGTCCTCCCCCCCTCTGGAAAGGCTGGCTACGGCCGCCCCTCCGGCCTCTTCCCCCTGTATGCGTACAGCCTGCCGCGGCACTGAATCGAGGCTTTTAGTAGCATTTAATACGCTCGGCTGCTCCTTGTCAAACCGAGTAAGATATACAAGTAGGGTATTTATTTATTGTTATCGCCCGGAACGGAGTTCGGGGGGGGGATACTATGGATTTGGCCTCCGGTCGCGGGCCGCCGCCGCCGCAGAGATTTCCTTGTGAGCGCTCTATCGGCTGCATTTTCTCGGCTCATCTTCAAATGCGTGCATGAAGGTGCGTTTCTCGGTAAAGCGACCAGACGCCAATCGTTTTTGCTGTAGGGCGGAGTGTCATCGTTGCCATGGTTAAGCAACATGTTATTGTCGAAATATTCTAGATCCTGTAACTCTCTGCAGTTTTTACTCGGATTGTCATGAACTTGTGGCACCCAGCGATCGTCAATATAGTACAGTTATATATTTATTATATGGGACATGTATTCGGCTCTGTGTGCCAAATTCCATCGGACAATCGGGTACAAACAGCCGGGGGATTGTCCCGACAGAAAATGTTGTGACCAATGGCAACGATGCTCCGTCCGACACCAAAAACGAGTTGGCTCTTTGACTTACATACGCCCTTTGGCATTCTGGGGAAAGGGTGCACAGTAGCCAACCCCGGTCTACTGGCGACCTTCATTTCACTTACCGTTGACCCTGATCGGATATTCCGCTTCCGCTCTGTAAGCTGCGGGCCCCGACATTGACCTAGCGCTCCCAACTCGGTAAGCTTACACATCTGGAGAAGGTGGTGCGGGCAAGAGAGCGCACCAACCAATCTGGGGGCCTTTAATTTCCAGCCTTTTACCTTGACCTTGATCAGCCTTTCCCTTCCGCTCTCTAGACTCAGCCCCTAGATGTGACCTAGCGCGCCAAAACTTGGTATGCTGACGCCATCTTGGGGAGAAGGTATGTGCGCATAGGCCGAAAACGGACCACTGCCCTTGCGACCTAGCTTGAGTTGTGACCGTCGATGCTTTACATTTCCTCCTTCGGCGCTGCCTAGGGTAACCAGAATGTCATAAGCTTGCAGCATGCTGAGGCACACCAGTTGTGCTAACAAACCTTTGTCTTTGTGACTTATTTACCTTTAGCGTGCTTCTACCATTACACGAGATATTCCCTTCATACTAGATGCACGGGGGATACTGTATGGCAACAACTGGCTCGTTCTTATTTATTTAGGAATTTAAAGACGATACATGTGGTAACGAAATATCTTCATGATGATTATGACCGCAAGCTCCTCGCAGTCAGTAGGTTGAGCGGTACTCACAGTGTAACCAGTGTATACGGTTTGCTTGGCAGTGCATGATGATGCAGAAGCCAGTGAATATCCGGGACGGGGAGAACGTGTGGAGGAGACCGTCGTAGATTGTTTCATGTATGTGAACGCAGGAGTGTATGACATCAGTTGTGGCCCGTAGCTATTGATCCCCCTCCATTCTGCCGCCGCCCGCTCGCCCATGCAACATCAAACATTGGCGCTGTAGTTCAGCACTGGCTGTCCAGCGCGCGCTGTAACCATAACAATACGCCGCGATGAGGTGTAGGCTGAAGGGTCGTTGTCGTATCAGGACTACATCTATCATTACCTCGGTAGCAACAATTAAATATCATGTTACCAACGTGCAGCCAACTTAGTCTACAGAAAGTGTACACTTCTAAGCCGCTAACCCTAACCTAACCCACCCTAGACCCTAGTCCTATCACCTGAACGCTTGAACCTTAACCCTAACCCTATACGGCCTACACAGCCTCATATTGAAAACCATATACCAGGCTAATAACATACTCAATAAACATACCTAAAACCGACCTCGGGTACAGCTAATCTTGTCGTACGCTGATGACGCCAACGCACCACCCGATCTGCGATAGTGTACGCGCACCCCCGTGTTACCGTGACTAGGTAGAGGACACCAAGGAAGAGCGAGAGACAGAACCACACCGATGATTGTATTACCGTGTCAACGCCTGTAAAGTAATGGGTCACGTCGGGCAAACGCCCAAGTTGTCCCTTCTGTCGATCGCAGGGTGTCCGTACTATAGCGGTGGTTTCACTGTATAAACTGCACTCAACGGGGTACAGCCAAAAAGGTGTTGCCGTTTGTTCGCAATTATAGTCAAGTGTATGTTCTTAAGATAGAGTTGTTTTGTTTCCAGACTGTTCAACTGCCACCAAGAATCCACCAAAAGTGTCCTGTTTATATATAGCAGATATAAGAGTACATCTAGGAGCTCCATCTCTCCTATGGTCTCCTATATCTCCTATATCTCGATATGCTACATATCGCCTATTATGTTACGTCTTGCCAGATATCGCGCGTAGATTTGACCTCTGACCGGCAGGTGTGACTTATTGTATAGGTGTAGCCTACGACTCAAGAGATGGCCGATCTAACCACCTCCTCACTGTCATATCGAGACTAAATCTCACAGCCCGAGTCAGCGTCAATCAGTAGATTGTATCGGCTAGGCTCGTAGGTTAGATAGTTACGGGTAAGCAAGCAGGGGCAGGAAATTCAGCAAACATGTGAACAGGCCCCCCCAATTTAGAAGCAGGACCTTAACCAAATTGCGAACAGTGCCCTTAGAAAGTGAGCAGGCGTTAATATTGTCTAATTTATTCCATTATATAAGAGTATTGGAGCTTTGTGGTATATAGGGCACACGTCCTCAGTATTTCGGCTAGTTCATTCGCTATCGATGTGGAGTTGCTACTTGTTGACAGGGAATTGTTGGACATGGTTTACTCTTAGTAAGTCTGAGAGGTCTAGTCCCCCGGGTAACTGCCCGGAACGTACGCCTGGGTACGTCCGGTGGGGTCAAACACAGGCCACTGTGGCCCGTTTCATAATGAAACATGCTGGTAAGTAAATAACCTTGTCAGTAGCCTACTCTCCAGTACTCAGCACTAGTCCTTAGATGTTTGATGTGACTAATACCTTCCAACTTCAACACGTTAAATATCACCGATGGCACACATAGCTCCGCACGCCATTGTGCATGCACAGATACACAGTAGATAGGAGTCCCTACGCCTACTCCCTACCCCTATACCCGAAGCCGAACCCTAAACCCTAACCCTAATCCTACAACCCTAGCCAGTAGATCATAATAGTGACCAGGGTAACGTTCGCGGTATAGCCGGACGTGCCCCAGGTACGTTCTGGCAGTACCTGGGGGACCAATAGACCCTATGAGCCTCTAGTAGTCAACGCAAAGTAAAAACTAGTCAGGAAATTGTCAATATGTGTTGATATAAAGGCAAGATAGGCAAAACTTGAATAGGGCCAAGTGACGATTATATGGGGTGTTAGACTTTAACCTGGCGGTTTAGAGGGGGTTGAACGCGCCGCCTGACTGACCTGACTCGGCTGTGAGATTTAATGTCTATATATACATCAGGATGTAGATTAGATGGCCATCTCTTAGCCGTAGGCTACACCTGTACAATAAGTCACACCTGTGTCAGAGGTCAAATCTAGCGCATGGATATCTGTCAAGAGTACATAATAGGAGATATG